AAAGTGTCCCTCAATTATTTGAGGAATCTTTCAGCCAATAGTGACTGTAAATATATGTATTGGGCGATCGTCTTATGCCACTAAAACTCAAATAAAAATTTTATAGGACGTTAATAAGGCCATTAATGCCTTATAACACATAATGTTGGGCGGTTAAAAAACAATACATGCAAAGAATGAGTGTAGGGGAGAATGAGTGTAGAGATGATGAAAATGCTTCGTTAGATGTGTGGACACACGAGAAATGGTAAGATTAAGAATGAAGATATCCAAGATAAAGTAGGAGTGACCGCAATTGAATATAAGATGAGAGAAGATAATTTAAGATAGTTGGATAAGTGAACCAATGACCTACATATACTCTAGTTAAAAAATGCGACTATGGGATGAAATATCAGAACAAAATGAATAGATGACATAAGAAAATTTGGAAATAGACCATAAGTTATCGAGTACTTAAAACTAATATAAGACTTAACGTAAAATTGAGTACAATTACGTTTTAAGATTCATACTAATCTCACTTGATGGAACAAGAATTATTTGTTGGTGTATAGATTGCGTTTTTAGGTGATACCATGCAGGACAAACACGTGTCATAATAATACCATTTACATATTTCAAAAATTTAGAAAATTAGAAGTCTAAAGACTAGAGCTTGTTTGGTTGTGCTTTTGAAAGAGTCAAAAGCGCTTCCTAATGAGTAAAAGCGCTTTAGTTTTAAAAAATGGTCGTTTGGCAACTATTTTAAAAGTGCTTTTAGTTAGAAGTAGAAGCACTAATAAGCATTTTCTAAGAAGCACCTAGGAGGTGCTTCCTCCTAAAAGTACTATGCAGAGAAAACAAGGGAAGCACTTTGCTCCCTTTAATGGCCTTACACAATTTTATTAGGAAGCATTCCATGACAGATCAAGAGTTCCAACCTTATGATGATGATGATGAGCTACTTCCACCTGGACATGAGGAAGATCATAGAGATGAAGAAATTGTTGATGAAAATTTTACTCATAGGCGAGAGATGGATGTTGAACGAGAAAGGATTGCTAATCTTCTTATATCTAGTTAATGCTTATTTCACATTTGATTGTCATGCAACTATAACGTGTCATTTTGTTTTCAAGAAACAAACACATATTCTCAATAAGTATGTATAATTTTGTTAGTGATCATTATTTTTTGTAATTGAATTTTCATCAACTCTTAATCAAATTGTATGCTAATTATATACAAAAAATACTTATGCAAAAATTATTGAGAATTATTAATGAAAGCGCTTTTTCATTTGACAACCAAACACTCTATTTAATATCAAAAACGCTTCTATCCAATACAAAAACGCTTAGTTGGTTGCATGCCAAACAACAAACTACTTCCTCATAGAAGCGCTATTGAAAAGTGCTACAAACAAAAAGCGCTAGTGAGTAAAAGCGCTTTATAGAGTAGCACATCCAAACGAGCCCTTAGGTGTTTGCAATGAATTTAATATTGTGGCCTTTTAGACAAAGGTTCGTAATTGTTGGGCCAACGTTGATACCGATCCAACTTGAACGTAAAATAGTCTTTTATTCACGCACCGACCCAAAGTGTTATGTTGACTGAAGGGAAAGTTTGAAATGTTTATGTTGACTAAAAAGAAAGTTTGAATTGTTATGTTAACCGATGATGATGTTTTATGGCAATAACGGTAAATAAGAGTGTATATCCAATTGGTCACGGGTTTAATCTTTATCGATTCTCCTTCTTTTTTAACTTGTAAGTTGTAATTATTTTATTCATTAATAGTAGCAAGTGTTTTCACACATTGTGTGTGAACAAATTCGTTTCATATTTTTTTATTATAAAGTGAGATTAGTTTTTAAAATTTTAAAACCAAAAATCAGTTATGAAAATCGAGATAATGATGAGCAGTTTCTTCTGATGTGGGAATTTTTTTTAATTTTTAAATAGGGTATGTTATATTAACCTGGTTGTGAAATTATTGTAAAAAGGAGCAAAATTTATGTTCATATGATTACGAAATTTTTATTTGAGTTTAGTTTTGATGAGATGATTAAAATGGTAATTTCCCGATGTGTTGGTAGACTATCAGAATTTTATTAACAGGTAGGTTAAATTATAATTTGTCAAACAAAAAGTTATGTTAAACGCAGGTGTTTATCTGTAAAAAGAAAAAAATATGAATCAATGCAAAAAAATAAAATATATATCAAACGCAGAGTTTAACTGTAATGTTCTCCTATGTATCGTTTGGTATGTAGACATGACAGGACAGGACGAGACGGAACGAAGGGAGCAAAAATGCCCTCGGATGGAAACAAGAAGGAAGAAGGAGACGGAGAGGTTATAATTTTGTGTTCCATAGATGTGGAATGAGTCATTTCAAAGGGTGAGGTGGAACGAGTCGTTCCAGAGGGTGAGGCGGAACGAAAATTCACCCAAAATTCGTCTCATGGAATAGCGCGTTCCACCTGTTTTAGGCGCACCAAACGTGAGACAGAACGCATCGTCCCACTCCATTCCGTCCCGTCCCACGTACCAAACGGTGGACATGGCTTCCCTGCCCTCCTAGTTATCATACACTGTCATCTCCTCCTATTTGTGCGTTACGGTTAAGTCACGTCAATATTTTATATCACTATTATTTTTTGTCTTATTTTTTCTATAAAAAAATCAATATAAAATGTTGACATAATTTAATCGTAATCGCACAAAATAAGAGGGGATGATATGAGAATATATGAGAACTAGGAGGGCCCGGTTCCCCAAACGGTACCCTAACGTTTATTACCAGAAAACTTGGGTGGGAAATACGAAGATGGCGCTTGTTCTTAACCTAATTCCGCCATCCCAAACCCTCTTTCAGTCATCGTCCTCCTCCACTCGCCCACTTCCGACTGTCATTTCCCGCCCAAATGAAGCAACTCAGGACTGGAATTCTCTTCTGTTCAAGCTCAAGTGCCGCGGCAGGTTCTCGTGCCTTTTCTCAGACAATAGCAAACAGGTCCCAACATCCCAAATTTCAATTCTTTCCCTCTACTTCATGTTTTCTGCGTTCATTGGGTGGTTTTGAATATTTTTTTACTGGGAAATGAAGAACCCATGTTTCTAATTTGTCAAAAGAGATGAAAAAAATTACCAATTTTCGGAATTTTGACAGCTGACAATGTGGATTTTGAACAATTTTAGGCAAATTGAGCAAACAGATTCAGTTGGGCTTGTATTTTGTTTGGCAATGATGCATTCCTTCTTGTTAGTTTCTCAGTGGAAGATTATGTGTTTTCTCGTGGTATCCTTCTCTGCTTTGCCACTTGCCCTGTGCGGTTTGAGCCTTTGGGAAACTGTATGCTCAGTTAAATTGTGCATGGAGAGTTACATTTGAGCTTTCAATTATGTCCGGAAAACACTGCGTTCTTTTAGTGCTCGAGGAAAGTGAGTTTAGGAGCCTTATGCATTGACTTGGGTTTTGAATAAAAGTCGAGTATTTGGTAGTTTGAGCATTCAATTTGTCGGAGAATTGTAAAGAATCATCAAGTGTTGAGTTAATGGTGCACACAAAAGGTTGTTCCACTCTGCTTGCAGGAAGCCTATTTTTCCCTGACAATGTTGTTAGGATGTAGTTGTCCCGAACACCATCTGTCGCTCTAGGTATAGGGGCTGCTGACAAGGTCTAACCATGACACTGCACATCGTCATTCGGACAAATAACAATTTTATCAGATATAACTTACTGAAAAGAGGAGTTGATTGATCTCTTGGTCCCTCTTTTCATCTGGTTTAATGGGCCGTAATTTAAATGCGGGTTTATCTTTCATGTATGAATTTAACTTAACCATTTTAGGGTTCCAGGACCAAGCTAGGAAAGCTTTAGAAGGTGCACTTGGTGGAAAGAAAGATGAATTCAAGAAATGGGACAAAGAAATAAAGAGAAGAGAGGAGGTGGGTGGAGGCGGTAGCACTGGTGGAGGGGGATGGTTTGGGTGGGGTAGATGGTTTGGATGGTCGAATGACGGCAATTTCTGGCAAGAAGCACAACAAGCAAGTCTTGCTGTGATAGGTATCATCTTGATGGTAAGAAATTTCTTGTCCCATTTCGAAATTCAACTCAATGCCGTTGCCTGGAATATATACAGGCCTCTCTATATATCTCATCTTCTTATTGTTGATTTTCAGTACCTCATAATTGCAAAGGGAGAACTGATGCTTGCTGTCATCTTCAATCCGTTGCTATACGCCTTGCGAGGGACAAGAAGTGGGTTTGCTTTCATAACTTCCAGAATCTTAAGGAAGAGAGCGCCAGATGGCCATAATATCTCGATGAAGGAAGCCTACGGCGGTGTCTCCGCTAAAGAGAGTGTTCTGAGAAAATGGGGAAGTGACTAGTGAGTGATGATTTTGTTTCAGGTTTGATATCACTCCCAACATGCGTTGAGAATGTGGCCACTATTTTTTATATCTCAAGTCCGAAACGTGTTTAATTTGCTGCGATGCCGAACTTGTGATCAGGCCCTTGAATTAACAACTTGTGGATTCAAATTTAAAATCACGAAAATACCATCTAACGATATTTTCATTCAATTATACATTGTTACGTGAAAAAAGTTAAGGTAGATAATACTGTGTGATTGACTTTGTATATCGTCGGAAATGCATTTCCTACAATAGGGAGCAATCATAATCCAATCATTGCTTTGATTCCTCCGCTTTGGATCCTTTAATTATTTAGTAGTTTCAATTTCAATTAATCCCTTACCAAAGAATTTAAATCAATCATCAAAGCTAATCCCCCAAATTATCATAAAAATACATGTCATGTTGCTCATGCACATATGTTATCTGGAAAATGATCGGCCTAGGAATTTTATATAGCATTGTGGAGCTTTATAGTGCCACATTATTAGTGGAGCTTTAAAGCAATCACATATGTTCTAACTAATATAATTATATTATCTGCTCTAACAAATATGATTACGCATGTAAATTATAAAACTAAAAAAATAAAGATAAAAAGCGGAAAATAAGAAGGGGTCAAAAGTTGTTTGTTATCTTTGGTCCACCCAATCCTTACGCTTAAGCCTGTCTCATCCGATGTGTTTGTTTCTGTGTTTCAAAAATTGAAAATCCCTCCTCGAGTCCTGGTCTTCGTGGAAGCTAGTGATGCAACAAATAAGTGACCCTCACGATCTCTCCACCCTTCTCTCTCTCTCTCTCTCTCTCTCTCTAAAAGTTTCGGATCACCACACGACCATTTCCTCTCGGCTTGAAACCTCCTCCTAAATACTCCCTTCTCTCCCACCCAGCCAACTTTTTTATCTTGCGGCAAGGTTTATCCTTGTTGGTTTTTTTCTTTATTTTCTGTTTACTTTTCTGGGTTTTACTGAAACTCCCTCGTATTTTATTGGGTTTCTATCTCCCAAATTTCTTCTTGTTTTCCCACAGAGATTCTCCAACTGGGTCTTTTGTCTTGTTCTTTTTGTTTATTTTGTTCTGTTTTTTCATTTTTTACTGGTAATACTTGTGTCATTGGGTCTACATTCTCTGTGCATCTTTTTGTTGGGGGTTGGTGACCTGATGTCTCTGGCCGTTGGACTTGTTTCGAGCTCCAAAAACATGGGGTTGGATGATGAGAACGCCGCCGAGGTTTCCCACAAGACGGAAAAAACCGGTGAGGCAAGTGCGGATCAACTATCCACAGGGATGGTTAGATCACCCAGTGAGGGTTCCCTCTGTCAGACCGAGGAAGAAGACGACGATGACGAAGTAAAGAAGATTGAGTTGGGGCCTCAGTTCACTCTCAAAGAACAAATTGAGAAGGATGCGGTTTGTGTTTTTGGTTTGTTGTCTCTATTTTGAAGAATGTGGCATTCGGGTTTTTGTATCTGGCTAACGTTGTTGTTGTTTGTTTGTGGGGATAATTTTGAGGTTTTAGGACGATGAGAGCTTGAGGAGGTGGAAGGAACAGCTTCTTGGGAGTGTGGATGTTAATTCTGTTGGAGGTAATCTTTCTTTTCCTTCAAAATTTCGAATTCGTTTTTGTCAAATGAAAAAATGGAGCCTGAAAGTGTGTAAATTTTGATTTTTCCCTTTCAATTTACGGCTGAAGTTCAAAACTTTAGGCCCATTTGATCGCCATTTCCGCTTTTAGTTCTAGAAAAACAAATGTGAATCTAAAAACGAAATGGTCATCAAACCGGCCTTTAGCGTCTTTGCATGATTTTGTTTGCACGCTTTTGTTTTATATCTTTAGCCGTCGATATATCTTCAACTGTCAGTAAAATATATGTTTGCTTTGGTGTATGAATATGCTGCTGATTTCAGCTAGCGGTATGCGATTTTTTATGATCTGTGATGGAACAGCTTTGTTTCTCTTTGTTTTTGTGCAGAAACTCTAGAACCAGAAGTTAAGATCATGAGCCTGGCAATTAAATCCCCTGGCAGATCTGATATAATTCTTCCGATTCCTGTGGACGGAAATCCCAAAGGGTTGTGGTTTACTTTGAAAGAAGGTAGCCGTTACAGCCTCGAATTCACTTTTCAGGTCAGCAATAACATCGTTTCAGGTCTCAAATACACCAACACAGTCTGGAAAACTGCTGTGAAAGGTACTCTCTCTCTCTCCCTCCCCCTCTCTCTCACATACACATATATTCATATTATGTAACAGCATTGATAAGCCTTAGGGAGATTCGATGTTTCATTCTTGCGGATCATTTTCTTCGCAGTTGATAGCACGAAAGAAATGCTTGGAACATTTAGTCCACAGTCAGAGCCTTACACACATGTGTTGCCCGAGGACACAACCCCATCTGGCATATTTGCTAGGGGATCTTATTCAGCTCGAAGCAAGGTAAGTTTAACCGGCGCTTGATGTTTCCATAACCTCAGATCTTTCAAATTAGATTCGTAAAACCGGACCCTTTTGCGAAAAGAATGAACTGGTAGATTTGGTACATACACAACCACCATGTAGAAGAACGAAATATGTTAGCCTAGTAGATTTGGTACATACACAACCACCGTCTCACATTTTTCGCTTTTGGTTTTGTGGTGCAGTTTGCTGACGATGACAACAAGTGCTTCTTGGAGATTAACTACACCTTTGATATCCGAAAAGACTGGCAATCGTCGTAAAAATTCGATCTGTTTTATCGATTTGTAGTCCATTGTTTTGTTTTCTCAAGCTGAGACGATCTGCAATTCATTGTAAACTTGTGAAAAATATTCCGCTGCTGCCTTTGTTTATTTTTCAATCCAATCTGAGACTGGTGACTTCATACAATGACGAGAGGATCGATCCTTTGAAAAGAAGAGGGAAGGGTAAACAGATAATGGTTAATTCTCGTTAGCCAACGAGGGTTGGCTCCGTTGGTAAGGTTCCTTTCTTGTGTTTCGCCCTACCAAGGTTTGAATCGTGTTACCAGCAGTCCTCGTTGATGTCCGATCTATAAATAGCTACGTAAATCCATACTAGTGGCAGCTGACAATTAAGTGTCAAGCATAAGTCTTTCTGACTTGAGGTTGTGGGTATGCTTCCTGACTTGAGGTTGTGGGTATGCTTCGATGCTAATTGTGAGAGTTGTTTGAGAAGTTTAATTATTCTTATGATGAAATAATTAATCTTATCCGGTGAAATAAATAATTACTCGTTGTTGCTCAAATTTAATCCACATTTTCAATAAAATAAATGATTATTAGTAAACAACCCCTAAACTGAAATATAGGTTAATGGCTAGTAAGATACATACTACTGCATTTTTATACCAATATTTTTACTTATATATAGAGTATCTTTTTGAAATATCCGTTGATATTTCCGTAACAACCGATATTTAAACCCTTGGGCTGAATGCATGCCTAATGCTGTAGCATGAAACAACTAACACAATATTATGATTAATATATGTGGGAAGTTGGGAAAAGGGATGGGGAGCCTCGAGTCAAACTTGAGTGAAAAGGGCCACAAGAGCGCTTGATTTTCACTATGGCACTAGCCATCCTCCAATGCTTGATTTGATTCTCATGATAGTTTGTGTTTTGAGTGACTAAGTTTTGAAGCGTGAGTCTCGGACCGACATGTGTTCTGACTAAGTTATTTTTTCAAGGTTTTGGATTCTCTTTGTGAAGATTACGGGGATCTGTGAATCGTGTCCGTTCATTATACATTGTGCGGTCAAAAATTATTTTAAATATTTTTATTTAAAATTAAACATAAACAGTGCTTGACAAAAACTGACAGCACGATGTACGATGAACAGACACAATTCACGGATTATCAAGACCCTCACCAAAAAAATCCGAAAAAGATCCTGTTGATTTTTTTAATATTACCGATACAGGTCGATGATGTTATCAATCAACTTATATTATAACTCGTATTTATCAACGATGTCGATATAGGGAAAATAAACACGTAGCAGGCTTACCATCACATTTAAAAAACGGGCCTAGAACGTCTCTTTGGACCTATTAATTTTTAAACCCATATTACGCGGAAGGTTCCGGAAGGCCCAAATTATTGGACTCAGCATCTTCCCTTCCATGTTTCCTTCGAAACAAAATCGAAAGGCTCTCTCCCTCTCTCGCTTCTCCGACTGCAAACAGCACACTGATCAAGGTAATAGTTTTACAATCTTCACCAAGATAATTTCATCTGTATTTTATCTAATCACATGTAATTTTCGATATATTTTCAAATTCAAATCGGACGAGAAAGCAAAGAAATATCCTAACGCACATAACTCAACACTCTGATTTTCTTTCACTTTCCCTCGTTTTCTCGGCAACCAAACAGAGCATTATGCTATTTTATTGGTGTTAAAACTCGGAATGTTGCTATTGCGTTTTCAATCGACTATTTTTTTTGGCGTGTATTAGCTTTTTACAGGTTTGTACGTTGGAACTGCTTTATATCTTTCTGTTCATGGCTGCGTTATATGCTTCTAGGGTTTCAGAAAAATCAAAGTTTGAATTTTGCCCTAATTTGTTTCTGTTAGTGTTGAAACAGGGAGATTGCAATTGGGTTAAGAGAATGAGCTCTAAGAGGGAACATGAAGGTAATGCTAGTGTGAACACGGAAGGGTTTGAATTGCATCCGAAGAGGCAAAAGCTGAATGAGCATTCATCGCCGTCACCTGCCTCTGAAGGCACTCTACTTCCGGGTTTTAATTACGGAGATGTGGACGACGAGGACAACCACAGAAGGCCACCTGTGAGTGGCTTTAACGGGGACGGCGGCGATAATCAAAAGGGTGTACAAAATGGGGGTCAAGTTGAAGAACTAGAGGATGATGATGATGATGACCTTGAACAAGGACTTTACCAAAGGCGGGGACGTGAAATCGAGGTCAGGAGGGATTGCCCCTATCTTGACACTGTCAATCGCCAGGTATATCACTATTCTGAGTTGTTACAGTATGGTATTCCAGCTTGTTTATATATTATCCATACAAAAGTATTCAGTGTATTGATACTGATTGCTTGCTTATTCTTTGTCCAGGTTTTGGATTTCGATTTTGAGAAGTTCTGCTCTCTGTCACTGTCAAATTTGAATGTGTATGCATGCTTGGTTTGTGGGAAGTATTACCAAGGCAGAGGGAAGAAGTCCCATGCATATACTCATAGCCTTGAAGCTGGGCACCATGTTTATATCAATCTCCGAACAGAGAAAGTTTATTGCCTTCCCGATGGATATGAAATAAGTGACCCATCGTTGGATGATATTCGACACGTCCTAAACCCAAGGTTTGATAATTATATTTTCTTATTTTTCTAGTCTTCCTTGGGTATCCTTTTAAGTATGCATGAGTAAACGAATAACTTTGAATTCCTTGTAAGTATGCATAATTAAACAAATAACTTTGAATCCATTTGGTCTTATATGTAGGTTTACTGATGAACAAGTTGAGCAGATTGACAAGAACAAGCAATGGTCTAGAGCACTTGATGGTTCTGATTACCTTCCTGGAATGGTATTGATTTTAGTTCTTGCACAAAATTCCATATTGATGGTTCTGGTTACCTTCCTGGAATTGTATTGATTTTAGTTCTTGCACAAAATTCCATATATGTTTCTGTTTCTGCTGTTGTCAATTCTGATGCTTGGTGCTATGTTTCAACTTCCTAATTTGCTTGGTCAATTCTGTAGAGTTTCCTTTCTATTAACTAACTCAGGGAAGAAGGATCTTTAATCCTTGCCAAATAAGTAATTAGCTATGATAAATCTATTCCGTGCATAGCCAACAATTAGAGCTATGATATATCTGTTCACAGTTTTGATATACTTGTATGGTATCAAGAAATCACCAGTCAGTTCTCTCTCATCCATAAGGTTAGACTAGATTGTTTTGAACCACATAAGTACTGTGTTTTCATATGTCTGGGAACTATTAGGGATGGATCTGTCCGATGGGTGCACTTCATTACAATTTATGTCTTAAAAATATCTAGCAAGGTGTTATTTTGGCTCCTAAATGTTGTTTACCTGTGTTTTCTTGATTTTGTAAAAAACAGGTGGGGCTCAATAACATCAAGGAGACTGATTTTGTGAATGTCACGATTCAATCTTTAATGAGAGTCACTCCTCTAAGAAACTTTTTCCTTATCCCTAAGAATTATCAACATTGCAAGTCTCCGCTTGTTCATCGATTTGGGGAGCTAACGAGAAAGATATGGCATGCACGAAACTTCAAAGGACAGGTTTGATCTTGATTCTTGTAGATTTCATATTTATGCCACTAGGTATTGTTATTAAACATTTTCATATGTTTTATATCTGTAATGTCTACAGGTCAGCCCACATGAGTTCCTACAGGCAGTTATGAAAGCCAGTAAGAAAAGGTTTCGAATTGGAGCACAGTCTGACCCAGTCGAATTCATATCATGGCTGCTTAATACGCTGCATGCGGCTCTTAGAACTTCAAAGAAAAATAGCAGCATCATATATGAGTGCTTTCAGGTTTTCTTTCTTATTCTTATTTTCCTTTGTTGTTGTATTGTTGTTGCTTCAATTTAACCTTCACTTTTCTTTAGAGTATAATATGTATTATTTCTGTGAATAGGGGGAACTGGAGGTTATGAAGGAGATTCCTAATAAAGGTATTGAGAAGATAGAAAATGGTGATGACCAGAACTCAGGTGCTGCAACTGAAAATAAGGGCATTGTCAAGGAAACTTGCAAAATGCCTTTCTTGATGCTTGGATTGGATTTGCCCCCACCACCGCTTTTCAAAGATGTGATGGAGAAAAATATAATACCCCAGGTACTTGGAACACTATTTTGTGCATATGACAACCTTTGTAGTCTCTATATATGCACTGCATCTTCTAGCGAGTTTGAAGGTCATTCTTTACTTGCCTTTTTAAAGGTTTTAATGTCTTTCTAATAATTTCAGTGCCTGAGTAACTTTTTTCCTAGCTTGTCAGGGGATTTCCATGGCTACGTAAAACATGTCTGAATTTGCTGGAGTTACATACATTGACTTTAGTGGTGCTATTGCCCAACTTGTACACTAGTTATCTAAGATTGCTCTGAGTCGGATTCCTCGGATTCTGTAATTATAATCTTAGGTATTTACAACTTTGCTGGCCATTAAGATGGGTAGTTGGGCTATTCCTCAATTTTGTTGGTCTGAATGGAGGATAGTTGATTGCCTTGAATTAAGTGGTTTAGTCTTTCTTTCTGCTCCTGTTCAATACCATATAGTTAATTCAGATTTGATTGCAAATTAGGGACACGGCAACTGGTCTTTCTTCTAAGCATTTTGGTTTTCCATTTTCCTTGAATATTGAATCGAGCCCTGGAAGATGCCCGTCATGTATGTCTCATGAGTCTTGCATCATACATCATCCTCTATTTAAACGATTATAGCACACCTTTGTTATTTTGAGTTTTGCTTTCAAAATGTATTTATTTCTCAGTTCTGTCTCGTGTGGTTTAGGTCCCACTCTTCAACATTTTGAAGAAATTTGATGGGGAGACAGTCACTGAAGTGGTCCGACCTCGCATATCAAGGATGAGGTATCGAGTCACCCGATTACCTCAGTATCTTATTCTCCACATGCAACGTTTTACAAAGAACAATTTCTTTGTGGAGAAGAATCCCACACTAGGTGAGAATATATGTCTATGGAAATATTTTGTACTGGACTAATCGATCAGTAATGCTCATATTTTGTATTCAAATAATCATTTTGCAGTGAACTTTCCTGTGAAGAACCTCGAATTGAAAGATTACATCCCGTTGTCAACCACCAAAGAGAACGAGAGGCTGCGCTCAAAGTATGATCTCATTGCCAACATTGTCCATGACGGAAAACCTGGTGAAGGTTCCTACAGGGTGTTTGTACAAAGAAAATCTGAAGAGCTATGGTACACTTTATTCCTTGTTTATTGGCCTAATGTAAATTTAAAGAAAATTCAAATGCATGGCCTAACTTCTGTTGTTTTCAGGTATGAGATGCAGGACCTTCATGTCTCCGAAACCCTTCCTCAAATGGTTGCGCTGTCAGAGACATATATGCAGATATACGAGCAGCAGCAGTAACATGGGACAATTTGAGGACTGTAGTGTTATAGTTCTGTGGATTTGACGTTTTGTATGTGCAGATGTACGAGCAGCAGCAGCAGTAACATGAAATTCGTAATGGTATGGTTCTGTGGATTCGACGTTTTGTAGTTTTGGCCAAATTTTGACAGTAAAGCAATCGATGTTAGAGTAGATAGCTTCGCGTCTAAAATTGTGTCTTGTAAGTTGTAATCGAGGTGTAAAGTGCCGAAAGGAATGTAACGAACTGTTTGATAATTATCTGTTCATCAGAAAAAATTGTTTCCTTTCTTTTCTTCTGATTGGATGCTTTCTATTTTCTGGTGTCACTGGTGAAATTGAATTGAATTAGGATGTGTGTGGAAGTGCTTTGAAAATACTTAAAAGCGTTTTTGTTGAAATATTTAAAAAATAAATCATTAGTAAAATGCAACTGAATCTTGAAAAAGTAGTTTAAGTACTTTATTATTTGCACATTATTGACGCTTCATCCAAAATGCATTTTAAGTGCTCTTGCAATTCGAAAATGCTTATCGAAAGTGCTTTTAAACATTTTAAGTCTTTATGTTGTCGGTTGTTTACCAGAATTTTGTGGACGTTTCGGAATACTTGCTGCTAGAAGTAGGTGTTGAAAAAAACCTGCACACTAGACCTTGTTCTTTAATGTAACCAACGGCAATAGACTAAACTAGCAAATATTAGAAAAAACTTAAAAACACACAAGAATTATACTGGTTCGGTAGAACTTACGCCTACGTCCAGTTGTGATTTCTCTAGGCATAGAAATCACCGCTCATTTGATTAATAATAGAGATTACAGAACTTTTGCAAACCCTAGAACTAATCTCAAAACTCTTGGCTGCCTGGCTGTTTTCTTTCTCTATTCACCTTGCCGCACCCTATTTACAGACATACAATTGGCTTACATGTCCCAAGGCTAATTGAATTCCTATTTCTAAGTGGATTAGGAAATTACACTTATCCAAATTCAAATAGACTTCTAGAAATCCAAACCTAAATTGAATAAGAAAACTGAAATTCTTTCCTAATCCCTCTAGGACAAGAATCGGTATACCTCTAGGTTTCTTAAAACAATCCTAAACCAACTAGGACATATTTGACGAACCAAAAACCTAACAGTAGGTGGTAGGTTTTGAAAATTGCTAGTGGGTACTTTTCAATTATTCAATTGTTCGTTGCAACGTTATTCCTTTGGAAGCATGCTGATCCCTCAGTGTTGACACACAAATTGAACTCTGGAGTTGGTCAGGTTTGACGCTTACTTGAAACACCAGTGGAAATAGTCGCAGTATCTGCCAAAGATTCAAACTTGGAAGGCGATCGCGGGTGACAAATTTGGAAATTTTCGCCCCTTTACTTATTCACTTGAAAAAAATAATAAATAAACACTTTTATAGTCCTTGTTGTCAGGGTTATTAATTTATTGCATGATTCGTTAAAGCGATACGAAATGATGCGAAAATTAACATATTTTGGATCAACTGCTTAATAATCATTTAACAAGTCAGGTCATTATTGAGTCATTTGTTAAGTACCGATAAGATTTAGACGTACGCATGACAATGACTTGCATGACCTATTAATGCGACATGAACCATTAACGAATTGAGGATCAATTAAGATAATAGATTTGAACGTTGAGATAACCTATATGACACAAAAGTGACACCAACACAACTCATTTTCCAGGTCTATCTGTAATTTGCACAAATTTTCACTTTTGTACATGCAGTTTCGATTCGTAGTCATTTGTTGTTAATTTTTTACAGCTACCTCTCCCTCTCTCTCAAGACGAAGACATTGACCAAAACAAAATGCCTAACTACATTGAATGGAAATAGTCCGTGGAATAGTACGTCAAACCCTTTCCCCTAATTGCCTAACTTTCCTTGGACCGGAAATGCTGCTTGTAGTTTTAAGCACATCACTCGAGGCACTGGCACCATTTAATTTTTCTACGTAGCAGTGTATGATTGCGTTGAGAAACCAGCACAATGACATCCTACCTTCTCTGTTTCTGGCCGAGGATGGATTTGGTATTTTCCTTTTTATTTTATTTTATGAAAATGTCGTATGTCGGTGATGGAATTAAGTTTTTTATTCATTCCGTGACGCCCTGCACAACTATACCGGCCCTCCCTTTTAACTATTAATAATTTAATAATAACCAAACAAACGTACGTCGTGCCAACCTCCCTCTTCAGCTTCACAAGTCAAAATTATAATCTCCGTCTGATTGGATCCTATTGGTCACGTGATCAAATATTATCTTTTCTGTTCCATTCGCAGCTAGCCACAGATTCGTCCATGTCAGTGTCACACAACAACAATCCTGAGAGGCGTATAGGTTCGTAGCTTCTTGAAGTGGTTAAGAGCGTTTATATTTGCTCTTGGGGTTTGTGTTCGAACCTCTGCTCCGATATCGTATAAGAAAAAGAATTCAAAGAAGCATCATTTCTTCGGGAAGAAGATGGAGGGTGAGATTGGAAACTTCGTCAAGGTATGGCTCTCAGTTTACCTATCTCTATGTTACTGCTATGCAATTGCTAAGTTTGTGCCAAAAGGAGTTCCAAGACTTTTGCTCATAATTCCGATCGTGTCCCTCTTCTTATACCTCCCTCTCCACCTCTCCTCCCTCCATCTCGGCGGCACCACCGCTTTCTTCATTTCTTGGCTTGCAAACTTCAAGCTCTTGCTTTTCGCTTTCGGCAAAGGCCCTCTCTGCTCCGACCCTTCGATATCTCTTCTCCGTTTCGTGGCGGTTGCTTGCTTACCCATCAAAATTCAGCAAAACCAGTATTCAAAAACCCAAAACAAAGAAAACCCAGCCCCGAAAATAACCAAAAATGGAACAAAATCCCCATTAAACTACGCAGTTAAAGGCCTATTGTTTGCCTTGTTGGTTAAGCTATATGACTACAAAGAGCACATTCATCCAAAGCTCTTATGGATCATGTATTGCTTCCACATATACTTCGCCTTGGAAATAATCCTAGTCATCGCCGCCACGTTGGCTCGAGCGCTTCTGGGGCTGGAGCTTGAGCCCCAATTCGACGAGCCTTACCTCTCGTCCTCGCTCCAGGACTTCTGGGGTAGGCGATGGAACATCATGGTCACCAGCATCCTGCGCCCAACCGTGTATGAGCCTATCCTCGCGCTAGCAACTCGTGTGGTCGGGCGCAGGTGGGCTACTCTCGCAGGCGTGATGGGGACGTTTTTGGTGTCCGCAATCATGCACGAGCTCATATTCTACTACCTGGGCAGGACGCGGCCCACTTGGGAGATCACGTGGTTCTTCCTCCTCCACGGGGCGTGCTTGGTGGCTGAGATCGGCGTCAAGAAGGCGGTCGGGAAACGGAAGAAGCTGCAGCTGCCGAGGTCAGTGTCCGGGCCGTTGACCGTCGCGTTTGTGATGGCCACCGTGTTTTGGCTCTTCTTTCCTCCTCTGCTGCGGTGTAAGGCGGACGTGAGGGCATTGGAGGAGTACGCGGCTGTTGGCGCGTTTGTGAAGAATATCGGCCATGCTTTCGCTTCTACAGCGGTGAACGCAACAGCGACAATAACAAGAACCTCGTAATAAAAGCAGACTTGTGGTGGTAGTTTTAGGCTTTTAAAAAATCAAATAGAAGACGCTGATGTAGTTAAATTGTAACCGTTAAAATAAGAAGAAAGAGAATAAGAGAAAGATTAGGAGGGGAGTGCGGTTGACATTGTTTTAACTAAAGCTACAACCCCATTCGATCAGTCGGCTTCATTCTTGTCCTGGTAATAACTTCTCAAGTTATGTAAAGAGCAAGTTTTTTTTTTTTTTTTTTTTTTTTTTTTTTTATTGAGAAAAAGATGATGTCTTTGATTATTTCGTTTAAATTATAATATGTTAAGTTTTTGTTTAATATAACCTAAATATGAGACATATTGTATGCATACATGTAGTAAGTAAATAATTTGAAAAAAATAAAAGGATGGGCAATAATAATAACAACATAAGATTGACACATATAGGTGAATTTCACATTGGGGAATTGAAAAAAATAAGAAATAATATATGTGTGTAATAATATATAAATGTATAGTTTTATTCTTAATAGTACTGATATTTTTGTGATAAAACTTAATACTTAGTAATATAGGTTTCTTTTTCAGTACATCGATATTTTTACATTAAGAGGAGATGGAGTTCGGCAAAATTACATAATGGACAATCTAATTTGGTATTGAATTCGTCATCCATGATATTTGAACCTAATACCTCTCATTTTCAAATGAAGAGAAATATTATTAGATTGTAATACAGAATGACAATAATATAGTTAAATTAGAACAGTAACGGTGTAAATATCTGACAATAGGGCTTGCTGGTTTTGTTGTGCGATATGGAGGTGTATGTAACGTGGCAGATTATATTTGCCACCGTCCAAGAAAAACATGCAAGTGAGAAAATATAATCAAGTAAGATAACACTGGGGTACTGACCGGGGAGTACCCAGTATTCTGACTTGGATACGTGGAACAACTAGATAACAACACTTGTTCATCTCAAATCTGCCCAAACATAACCAATCAGCCTTTTAATTCTGTTTGCCAAACATATGCTATCGTGCTATCCAAACGCACGTCTTCTACCTCACCGAAATACTACCAGCCCTCCGAGGCTCCATCCCATTATCGCAAGCTACCATCCTCTCCCACCACCACCAAGCGCATCCCGCCCATATTCAGCCCGCCCAACCCTCCTTCAGTCGGTGACTCCACCCCCGCAGCGAGACTGCCCCGACCAAATCTGGGAGGATTACAAATTGGGGTTTCTCAATTAAATACTCGATGTTGGCTTGGCGAGTGAGCTTGAAGCTTGCATGCCGGAGCCGACGAGGCCACGGGATGGGGTTGATGGAGAGGTAGGAGGAGGATAGGACTTGTCCAGATCCATCATGGCAAGGGTAATGGGAGGAAGAAGGGGGCCCTTTGGTAGCCATCAAATGAAGAATGATTACATATAATGGATTCATCGTTATCATGAAATTTCGAATAAAGGTAATAATGAAAAAAGTTTGAAAATTTTAAGTTTTACAAAATAAAATGTAAAGTAAATAGTATTATAATTGATTTTTTAGTGTAAACATATAATTTTTCGTTAAAGTAAACAATACGATCGTGGACTTTTCGTTAAAACTTTCTTATAATAATACATTAATGAATTCAAGCACCAGGTAATGAACAATCCGTTTTATATAAAATTTAGATTGTCTAACATATCCTTTTCAGCCTGCGGCTCGAGAAAGTTGAAAAAAAAAGGTAATATAGAAAGAACACACCGCCATACAAAAAGTTGGGCACACACTAATGAATCTTAAATAAATGAAAAAAATCATGAATTGGTAAATTATAATATGAATTACAGATGATCAGTGACCTAATTAAAACTGATTTCGATTACTTAAATTAGTTCCAACACTTGTCTTTTTTTTGTCGAAACTTTTTTGTTTTAATTTTTTTTTGTTAAACGATAAATTTTATTATATTAAATATTAAATTGGTCACCAACAAAGTTCAAACTCACGTCATCTTGCAAAGATTTAATTTTTTTTCCACTGTCTTAATTTGTTAGAAGAGTGGGAAGTCCTTGGTCCTAGACTCCTAGGGAAGCTACTGCATATGCCACATGCAACGCTATCAAACCACACATCTAGAAAATGATTGCAATATATGAAAAAAAAATTAAAAAATGAAAGCAACATCCATCTACCGTTGTTTTGTTTCCATCGCATATTATTGCCCTACAAATTTTTAATTTGCCGGCATGTTAATTCGCCTTTAAAGAGGACCCGAGGGCCCCGTGGCCAAGTAACTTTCACGACTTGTGTTATTATTTTATTTTCTTTGTTAGACCACCGACTATTTCTTATATTTTTTCTACGAATCTTTTCGGTTCTCGAATAGTGAATTCTTTTAACAAAATTATAGAAATTTTAACGAAATATTTTCGGTACTGTTCATTTAACGAAAAATTACATTTTTACACTAAAAAATCAATACCGGTACTATTTACTTTACTATTTATTTTGTCCTTATTGTTAAAATTCAAATTTTTTTAACCCTTTTCATTAGTTTTCCTCAAAATTATTAGCTGATTCTCTTATTAAAAAAATCACTAAATCTTTACATTTAATATCCGTGCATATACCTCGCATTTCGTTTAATCTCTACTATTTTAATAATTCATCAGTTAATTACTAGTAAATACACAAAAACTAAATTTAGAAACTCGAGATTTATTAAGTAAAAACAAGGTTACATCCAGAAGATGAATGGCGGGCTGTTCTATATTAAAATTTGTTTTAACTTTTAATTGTTGAATCCAACTAATGTGTCACTTTAAGTTTAAAGTCTTTCTTGGTTCCTTCCAACGCGAATAAACAATTGGCCTCAAATCAAAGGTAATATTTGTTGGATTGCGTTGCAATATAATAAAAAGAGCCATCATTTATTCCATTACATTTTTTTAAACAAATAATATTATCTATATTAAAAGAAAGAATGAGATTAGCCTCACAATTTGTTAGTAATGATGTAATTTGAATTCGCCTTTGACCAAAATCGAACTTAAGACCTCTCACTTACAAGTAAAGAAAAATATCACTAGACCGTAACACTAAATTATTATTCCACTGGACTTTGATTTATTAAAAGTTTATTTAATTACACTATCCTCAAGTGACATGGATTTATAATTGACTAACAAAAATTTGTTAGGAAGATCATATTCTCTAATCTTATGATGGGACACTTAATAATTGAATTTCATAATGTTTTAAAAAGAAATCCAACTATCAAATACCACATCATCTTATTTTCAAAATACAATCTATATTCTTGTTTGCAAATGGTAATGCTAGAGATTGAATTTGTATACTAAATTTTGTAAATTAATAATATGAAAGTTGATGTTTGAATTGTTACTTTAAGTACATACTTATTTCTTATTAATGACATATCATTTTGTTTCCAATTTTAATCTATCTAACGTTACTCTTTTATAAATAATAATATAGACTGAATAAATAAATAAAAACTACAATATAGGGATGAGCGTGTTCAACTGTTCCGTCAACCTTTACAATATATAAATACGATAGGACGATCTTTCTCCATCTAAAAAACTAGTACTCTCATAAGAATTGTTCACAGAAATGAAGAAATTGGAAGGAGAAATCCCAATATTTTTCATGGTTTGGATTTTGGTTGTGGCATCACTATCTTACTGTCACACCGTCGGCAATGTCACTTCTCCGGGCACTACCAGACTCCTCGCCGTCCTACCCGTCGTATTCTTCTTCTTCTACCTCCCTCTCAATCTGACCACCATTTTTCTCGGCGGCCCGTCGTCTTTCTTCCTCGCTTGGCTTGCCAACTTCAAGCTCCTCCTCTTTGCCTTTAACAAAGGTCCCCTCGCCACCACCCCTCCCACTTCCATATCTCATTTCATCCCCTTAGCTTGCCTTCCAATCAAATTCCGAAACGACCCCAAAAACCATGAAAAGAAAGAACGTCCTGCGCAGAGAATTTCTGCTTCAAAATCTCTCCCAAAAGGCCAGAAATCGACTCTCAACTATGTGACCAAGGCTTTGATTTTTTCCACGTCAGTACATGTATATCACAACAAACAGTTTATTCACCCTAAAATCTTACTCTTCCTCTACTCCATTTACATGTACACCGGCCTTGAGCTTATCCTCGCCTTGGTCGCATCACTGGCCCGAGTCTTCCTCGGCGTTGATTTCGAGCCGCAGTTCGACGAACCCTACCTCGCCACCTCACTCCAGGACTTCTGGGGAAGCAGGTGGAACATCATGGTGAGCAGAATTCTACACCCTACCGTATACCAACCCGTCCGGGAAATCTCCACCGGTGCCCTCGGGACAAAGTGGGCCCCGATTCCGGCTGTTATCGCGTCGTTTTTCGTGTCGGCGGTGATGCATGAGCTCATCTTCTATTACATTGGACGGACGTTGCCCACGTGGGAGCTGACCTGCTTCTTCCTCCTCCACGGAATATGTTTGTCCATTGAGATTGTGATCAAGAAGGCTTTTGACGGTAAGTGGCGGTTGCCTGCTGCCGTTTCGGGGCCGTTGGCGATGGCATTTGTGGTGGCGACGGGGGTGTGGCTGTTTTTGCCGTCTATTATGGTGCGGTGTAAACCGGACGTCATGGCGTACAGAGAATATACGGCTTTCACCGAGTTTATGAAAGTGTTGGTAACTTTGTCAAAGTTTCTTTCTTAAGCATAGTTGGAAAATAGAAGAAGCACTACCATAATTGTATTTACTAATCAATAATATTATTCTTACTATATTTTTGTACCACAATTGTATACCACTTTAAGTGGTATCTAATGTGGACAGTTACATCATCTAAATTAACAAGCATTTAATTTCAAAATGTTAATCAATAATTAATAAAAAAAGATTGTTAATTAAATGATGATTGTGGTATACGAGGAGTCACCTTCTTCCACCTTTATTTAAGTGTTTTAATTAATAAAAAGATTGAAATTAAATGATGTAGCTTGTCTAACTCATCTGCCACCTAAGATGGTAAAGAAATATGGTAAGAATAACATTACTCTTTATTAATTAGTTACGTGTGACTGAGCAATCCCAGTCTTTAATAAAAGACCAAAATTGCCAACTTTTTGTTGACACTTTGTTCTCCCTGGCTTCAAGTTTTTCTGCTATTTTTGTGGCTCTCCTCTTACTAAGAATCTTGGCAAGTACCTTTCTCTACGAATAACACTTCTAAAGGGAGACTGCAAGACAA